CTTTTATATGCTTAAACTGCACATACTTCTGAAAACATTGCATTTTTATGATCATGTGGGCAATAATTACAACATGACATGATGGCTGTAGTTTTTGGGTGGACTGTTAAAGAACAAGACATACCTTACAGAAATCTTGTTTTAACCAAACTCTACAGAAAACTTCCTACACAAACAGTACATTTTAAAGCCATTTCCAAGGGAGAAATCTGCTAAACACCCTTTTTTTATTGTGTCTAACAGGAAAATTGGACCATTTACCCGGAGGAACCACAGTAGGCAATGAAACAATGGCAGCAGTCTGTTGTAATGAAGATGTCATCTGTCAATCATCCTGCAAGTTCTGTGATTGACTGGACTCCAAACTCTGAGAACTCTAAATAGTATATTTGCTATTTTAATGTATTAAATTATGTGTCTTAAGAGATTTTTCTGGTTTATTCATCAAGCTTCCTCCTGAGCCTCTGAATGGAGAGACTAACGGATCCGTTGAATGTCTTCAGCTTTAAATGGCTATTATACATTGTTTATCACATCTGATATTTATCCTGATATTTATATGTACGTGCGACTTTGTTTCGTTTGGGTTGCGTTTTATTGAGTTCGTTTTCTAAGCAATATGTGCAGTCTTTAGAAAACCAAGAAAAGAGCCAAGGTAGGGAGTGAAGAGCTTTATCTTGCTCTGTTGAAAAAAAAAAGCCACACAAAACCATTGACTTCCTCAGGCTGTCAGCGAGGTGGTAAAAGTCTGACCTTTCAGAAGACTGAAAGCCATTTTCTTACGTCTGTGCACCACAGTCAAATTGAACAAACTTATACAAATCCACTCCGAGAGAGATTTGAGAACTGCACACTTTTGTTCAGTCTACTATGGTGTACAGTATCTATACACACCTCTGATATGTTATCAGTTTGCCTTGCGACTATGAAACTATTGTCAGTGGAGAATCATCGAGGTGACAGTTTTGCAGTAAAATGTTCTCATAAAGAGAGCATGACAGTATAGCACTCTGCATGTTGGCAAGAATTTGTTTTGGTTTTTTCCCCAACACTGCAGGTCTACATACATTACTTCAACATGCTCATTTGCAGTCTCCTTCGCTTCTTCCAGACTTACAAACGCACAATACTGTACCATGTTCATTAGCTGATATATATATATATACCCCCATTCTTCGACCGCATGGCTCTTTGTGTCTGAACACATATGTTCGGGACATAGAGACCACTTCACACTGTACTTCAAGTTGCAATGTGCAAATGTCTGAAGCGCAAGAGAAACCGTGTGCTTACTTCAAGCAGGGCAAGGGAAAACTCTGGGTAATCAGGTCATAATGTATTGTTCATAGTAAACTAATTGTACATTATTTTTTATAATTTATAAAGAGTACTGAGAGATAAAGGTGATATAGGTTGAATGTTTGTAAAAATAAATGATAACAGATATGTTTGGTGTTTTTTATGAGTCTGACTTACACACACACACACACACACAAATGCTTGTGCAGCCCAGGCTCATTATTGGTACCCCTATATACGTTTATGGAGAGCACACATTACATCCCAGGAGCCACTTTTTTTTTTTTTTTTTTTTTTTGCAGTTTTTGTTTTTTGCAAATCCACCAGAGGGAGCTGTGTACACCTTTTTCGATCTCAAATTTTCTCTCGCGAGTGCCATTTGCACCTGCTGTTTTGGTGTAAATCCACCAGAGGCCACTGTCAACTGACTGACCGAGCGAGCGAATCCCCCACCCACCTCCTGCTCTAAACCCAACCGACAGTGTTTTCAAAAGCAATCCAGAAAAAGAGGCTGATTTTTAACACATTTTCGGATCGTACCATATTCTAACGTGGTTAGTTACTTGTTTATTTTATTTTTTGTTTTTATTGTACCTGCTTTCTGGAACCGTTTTTTGCCACAATCGATCCCCGTCGTTGCAGTCGATTCCTCTCTACATCTCATGTCCACCGATGCACATGGCAAGCTGCTGGACAAACTGGCAACGTCGAAAAAACCTGTTTGGAGATAAGTGGTCAGCTGGTAGTGCAAAAAGAAACAGAAGCTGTCGGTGGCGTCATACCGCATTCTAATGTTCATTTTAAAGACGAATTGCAGCCATTTGTAGCTCTGGCTTCGTAATTTGCCCTCTCCAAAAATGTATACTTGGGTACATTTTTACAATGAGCCTATGTTGCTCTTGTATATATGGTTTACTAGGACTCTCTATAGAAAAAAAAAAAATTTATCCCTGTAAAAAAAAAAAAAAAAACACATTTTAATGGCCTTGACCAATCCAACGCTCACAGGAAACCTGTGAAAAAATTTTAATGTCATTTAAAGACCACATTAAATATGATTTTGATATAAATTATGAAAACACAAAGCTTGTCCTTGTAAACTAGAGTACAACTCATACACATCTCATGTGTCGATGTGAACCACATAAACAAGTGCAAGCATACAAGAAAATTACTTAAATGTGAACTGCGGTTTTGCTTT